TGTGTGTGTGTGTGTGTGTGTGTGTGTGTGTGTGTGTGTGTGTGTGTGTGTGTGTATGTGTGTTTGAATGTGTGTGGATGTTAGAGGACAACCTTGGGTGTTAGTCCTTGCTTTCCAGCTCATTTTTGAGGCCATTTTTTGTTTTGTTTTGTTTTGTTTTTGTTTTGACAGGTTCTTCATATGTAGCCTAAGCTAGCCTCAAGTTGAAGTTGGTGATTGTCCTCCCTCAGCCTCCCTAGTGCTGGGATTGCAGACATATGACACAAGGCCCAGTGCTAGTGTTGAGGGGTAACTAAACTTCACCCCCTAGAGGGAGGTCAGTTATGTGCTGACAGTGAGCTTTTTGCCTGTCAGCTCCTTCCCTTTTTATGGTTCTCATTCTAGCTGCATAGTTAACCTCACCTTATTTTTATCTGAAATTACTAGCGAACTCAATGTATAGAACAGGCTAGCCTGGAACTCAAGAGATCTGCCTACCTCTTCCTCCCAAGTGATGTAATTAAAAGCATGTACCACCAAGCCTGACCCCAAATACTCCTTTTATTTTATTTTTAAGTTGTCCAAGAGATTTTAATTTTACAGCCAAGATTGAGAACATTGAGCTAAATAAGATTCCAAATGGAATCAGGTAGCTGATCTCTTATGCCAAGTAGTGACTTCTTCCAAAAAAGAAAAAAAGTTTTCTGTGTTTTGACAAGCCTCTTTGACACAGCTTACAAAAACAGACATCTTGGACCAGTGATAACCTGAGTTCAGTCCCTAGAATCCAGGGTGGAAGAGTACAACTCCTGAAGGTTGTCCTTTGATCTATGCACATTAATAATATAAATATAAAATGAAAGAATTTTAAACTAGACCTCTTAGCCGGGCAGTGGTGGTATATGCCTTTAATCCCCGCACACTGTAAGTAAAGGTAGGCAGATCTCTGAGACTTTGAGGCCAACCTGGTGTACAGAGTTCCAGGATAGCCCTGGCTACACAAAAGGACCCTGTCTCAAAAAAAAAAAAAAAAAAAAAAAAACGCACACCAAAAACCCCAAACTGAGTTTACCTTGTTTTTTGTTTATTTGTTTGTTTTAATGAGACAGGGTTTTTCTGTGTAGCCCTGACTGTCCTGGAACTCACTCTATACCTTTATAGTCCAGGCTGGTCTCTAACTCACAGAGATCCATCTGCCTCTGCCTCCTGAGCACTGGGATGAAAGGCCTGTGCCCCCATCTCCTGGCTTCCATTCTGATTTTAAGTGATTCAGTCTGTCTTGGATAGAAGTTAAATTTGATTATATATATATTAGAGACTGTAGAAATTAAGAACATTTTATATTATATTTGGGATTGTTTACCTTTTTTTTGGTCAAGATCTCACTCTCTCCCTGTTTGTCCTTAGCCTCCAACAAGCTGGGATCATAGGTGTGCACCAGTATGTCCAGCTTTATTGGCTCACTTTTGTAAAAGTTTATATATGCTAGCAGATATTTTCAGTTTTTTTTTTTTAGGTTCTTTTGATTCTCAGTGTGTCTTTTTACCTTCTTTCATCACCACACTTGAGAACTTTTGCAGTTCAGTGACCTCTTCCTAGCACTGTCATGCCAGGAAATACTAATTAATTTACTAATCATTTGTGAAAAAGGCTTTTTCTTCCATGAATTATGGGACTCCAAATCTGAGATTGTTGCAGCAGAGTGAGCTGGGATGCCGCTGTGATACAGACATGGGCACGCCATGCTCCTGAGGCTTGGGTGAAGAGGCAGTCACCTCTGAAAAACAGGAATTCAGGTAGTTTTAGAAATGGAATGGCTTTGTAGCTCAAAACCTGAGTCAAAATGACTCCGCAGCTATTCTTATAGTCTCTTTGCTGCTTCTATTTTTGTTGTTCTTTTTGTTTGCTTGTAGTGTACTGGTAGTTTCTTGCTTCTGTTACTGTAAATTCCACTGTCAGCTTGATGTGGAGACTTCAAGTACAATGTAACTGGGCCCTTTATCTGTTCAACATGTGAAGACCAAGGGGATTCAGTCTAGCAGTAGGTCTATCTACACAGGCGGACCTGGGCTTTTTATCTCTTGTTGAAGCCATGTGTGTTAATGGCTTTCACAGTCTAAAACTGCCTCTCCTGGGTTAGGTATGATTTTACTCACAGAACATATCCTGGTTTCATGTAGTGTAGGAGATGACCTGAGGCCCACGTGTGTAACTCTTCCGTGGCATTACAGTATACACGAGAGTCTGATACCCATGAGGACACTGAGAATCTCAGTTATTTGTTGCCTTTACTTTTAATCTGTCAACAGAAGCCTTGGC